AAGTCAACTCACTGTGGAGGCTGCGGTATATAATTTCCCCACGTTTCCTCATTTAAAAATATCCTTTCTTGGCATTAGCGGGTGTGCCCTGGTTTTTATGTAGACATGTCAGGAAAGATCCATGCGGTCACCTGGGTAGGGCTGCCTCAGATGCTGGAAGATTAGTGAGTTCATTGGGTCCAAGATCTGTTCCTCGGATCAAGACGAAGTATGTGAGCCTGCCTGGCATAGTGTTTGGCAGGCGGCAGGGCCCCTTTAAAAGTTAGTTTCTCTTTGATCTGGCTAGATTTCTACATGATTTTGATCACTCTGGTGGTACCTTTGATGACCAGTTAGTTACCTAAGAGGTCAGCAGCCAGCATTTGTCCAACACTTACTCTGCTCTGAGGGTTTTTTGTGCGCGATCTCATTAAAATCCACAGTAAGCTAGCTACTCCACCCCATTTTGCAGTGAGGACTTGGAGGCGCTGGGTGTAGCTTGTCTAGTCATAGAAGTTTTACAGCTGGAGTTTGAGCTCACTGATTCTGGAACGAGATAGGGCTCTTCACCACCAGGTTAGATTTCAGGTTAGAGAGTCGACTTCCTGGTCCACGGTTCAGACTGAGGGTATGAGAAATATACTACGATGCGTCACAGACTAAATCCTGCTGAGGACAGCAGTGGTGCAGATACTAGGGTCCCAGGAGATTCGAGTGGGGAAGGGACCGGCTGGCAGATGTGCCATGCGTGTGCGAGGAAGGACTAAGTACCAGCCGGGAAGAGGGAGGCATGAGACCCGAAGAGACTGAGAGTCCAGGCGGCTTAAGGTTAAGCAGCAGCGATAAGGGGTCACCTTGGTTGGGTGTCCTGTTATGTGCTGGGCACAACCATCCTGAGCTGTAATTTGGGTCCGTTCTTTTACATTTGAGGCTTTAAGAGAAGTACTCACTAGGAGCCTGCAGAGTAAATGGTGCTTCATGGAGTACCTGAAAATTTAGATGGTCTTAAAGCACCAACTGCAGTGAATTTAATTAAGGAAAGCCTGTGGAAACACCTGGCCTTCACCGTCTGATTTAACACTAGGTAGGTTCTTTAAAGCATATGTGAACTGTCAGCTCCTGGGGTTATTCCTGATGCTGTAATAGTCACGTCGGTGGTTTTTCAGGTGAAGTCCCCGAGGAAGAATTGGATTCCATGGCAAAACATGAGTCCAGGGAAGACACAATTTTCCAGAACTTTAAAACTAAAATAGCCCAGGAACCAGAACAGGTAAAGCAGAGCTCATATAGCTCTACCTTGTGTTCTTTCTGCGGGTGTTTTAGGGGTGTCATCCCTAAAGAAGCTGTGTCGTCAGCAGTGGCCCTTCACGCGAAGGAAGGGTGCGTTTGCAGCACTGACACTTCAGGAGTTATCGAAAGAGTGAAGATTACGCCATTTATCATGTGGGATTTATTTTCTAAAGAAAGCATCAGGGATAGAAGTATATGTTGTCTGCAGCATGTGGAGTTTAGGCACCAATAACAAAAAAAAGACATTTTTGCTCATTTTCCAATAGGGACCTTTGGCTTATAAAACCAACATGGTATGTTAACACAAAGATTGTGGTTTTATAAAAAGAATCCTGGATCCTGGAGTGACATCATGAGCTTCTGATGCAATTCCATCTTCAATGTGAAAAAAAGTAGAGGGTGGTTGTGAGGGTTGAGGGAGGTCAGTCCCTTCTTCCCCTTAACCCCCCACACCATGAATAGCAGTCGCTAGAGAACCCTCAGGCAAATTCCCATAAACCAGTCACTGGATCAGATAAATGTCCAGCAGCTTGTAAGAAGGCTGGATCTAGGTCTGAAACACTGATGGTGGTTTTTAGCAATGTGTATGCTTTTAACAAAATAGTGGAAAACCGCTCAGTTGTTACATAAGATATTAAAATGAATTTTGTGTTTGGAGTATGTATCTAAACACCGTGTTTCACTTGGTCTTTGTCTCTTTTAAAATCTTGAAGGCTCCTTAAAGCTGTGTGGAGGTAAGCACACACAGCTGCATTTTGGGTTCAGAACCTGGTAATGGGAAAACAGGATTATTGCGAGTCACTTCAAAAATATTTATGATTCAGATTCTGATCCTGTTATTTAGGATAAAATTTTGACATCCTGAGTAAGATAAGCTGAAATGCTTGCTCTGATGACAGAGAAGGCATTAACTCTGCTGGGCCTGAGGGAGACCAGTGAACTGCCTTCCAGAATTGTTCCATGGAGTGCAGAAGCACATACAGAGTTTCTCCACGTGGCCATCTTATCGCATGCTGCCACTGGAGACCCAGCAGAGGGGCTGGTGATTGACCGTGACCCTGACTGATTTTAGATTCTCAGGTACGGCAGAGGGATTGCCCCCATCTGGGTCTCTGGTGAGAACATCCCTCAAGAACAGGATATTCCAGACTGCCCCTGTGGTGCCAAGAGAATCTTTGAATTTCAGGTATGACCTTAAATAAGGACTTCGTTAGTACGTAATCACCCTGGTTTTTGTTTTTAAAGAGTAAAAAAAATTCGAGAAAGTAACATGCACTGGGGTCTGTATGATGTCATGGAAGGTGCCTTGTGAAAATCAGAAGTTTCCTGCCTCATCTCTGGGCTTAAAGTTGTCTTTTACTGCTTTATCTGGTAGTTGTTTCTAACTCGAAATAACATACTTTTTTGATATTTCTCAGTTTACTAGTTTTCAGACGTCTGTTGACCTCTGCAGTAACGAGGATATAAATGTATTTGCTTTCACCATCTGGACCATCTCCCCTCCCCATCCCATCCCCTACACCCGGGATGATAATCATGACTTTGGGTGTCCCTATTGTTACCGTTGTAATTTTAAATAATATACCTTGTTCCATTAATTAAGGTCTGACTCTGTGCCTTGTGAGAGGAGTGTTTTAGAGCCTTTAGTCTGTTTAGTCTTGCTTCGTGGATTTATTTGGAAAGCAAGCAGACGTAATCATTAAGGTAATGGTTTTGTCAAAAGAAATTCTTAACATCAAAATCATTTTAGGTTGAGAGGAAATGTTCTTGAACTGTGGTACGTAATAATACCTGTTTCTTAAGGTAAAGATGGGATTATGAGGACTGCATCCAAACCGATGGTTCTTAGTGCCAGAGCTTGACGCTCAGTGTTTGTATGAAGCCGACGATGGCAGTCCTGCCTTTGCGCTTGTTGTTATCAGACGACTTGGCTTCTGAGACCCTTCTCTACACAAATGCAGCTGATTCCCTTTCGTGTTCGTCACTAGTGTTTTTAGTGGTAACAGCACCCGCTATTCCATTTTCAAATGATAAAAAGTAAAAGTTGCCCAGATAAAAGCTTTAGTCCTGTTTTGTGTCATGTTATTAATAAAAATAATTAGGTTACCAGCAAAGACAAATAGATCAGCCAGACTGTTATACTTGGGAACGTCTTTCTCAAGTGGAAAAGAAAGACACCAGATGAAGGCCAAATGAAAGAGAGGTTTGGAAGGAATAGAGTTGCACAATATTTTTAAAAGATTGAATATGTTAGTTGTATAATGTCTTAATTTTGTTGTGCTGTGTGGACACTGAGGGACCAAGGTCCCTACCCAAGGTATGTTGGAAGCAGACTGCCATCCTGGCCTCGAAGCAGGTCTCCAACTGTGTCACCCTATTCTCAGGTCATGCCTCAGCTGCTCAACTACCTCAAGGCTGACAGACTGGGCAGGAGTGTCGACTGGGGCGTCCTGGCCGTCTACACCTGTGCCGAAAGCTGTAGACTGGGTGCTGGCTACACAGAGGAATTTGTTTGGAAGCAGGAGATAGCAGATACACCCTAATGACGCCGTAAAGCCTTAACAACGCTCATGGTCTCTTAGAACTTGCAATTTCATTTTTAGGACTTTATCCTAAATAAAGAAATGATTATACCGGAAGCGGCACAAAGATGTTGTTTTAGGCATCACTTACAATGTCAAATATTTGTGAAACATGTCCAGTGACCGGGGATTATGGAAATTTTGGTGAACGTATACAGTTTTAATGATAAGGGACCTATGTGCACACCAAATGAGATGTAAGTCGAAATCAACACCAGGATACCATTTAGATGGTATTCATAGTATGGTCACATTTCTGTAAAAATAATTGTACATGTGTATGTGTGGAGAAATAAATCTGGAAAGACGCGCGAGGTGTGGACTGGCTACCTGGATGGTGGGGTGAAGTGGGGTGGGCCTCATGTGTGGTCAGTGAAAATGGGTTATGCACCCAATTAGGTGAAACCATCACTCAGGTCATTTCCTTCCCCGCTAAAATTCGCAAAGTTAAAGTGAAATATATTTGGGTAAAACCCCCCAAAACTGGTCTGATAGTCAGGTGATGTCACAGGCCCTAGTCCACATGAAAGCCCAGACGTGAGAAGAATTCTGAGTCCGGCTAGGCTGGTGAGTATAGTAAGTGGGGCGCCCAGTAATTCTGAAGCAATAGCAGCAGAGTTGTCAGCATCAGGAAGATTTGTGATCAGACAGTCTGACTTTGAATAGAAGCTCTGCTTCAGAACTCACCTGGCTAGCTTACGGATGAGACCAAAAGGCAAGAGCACTGGCCTTCTGCATCCCAGACTGCTGAAGGGCCGGTAAACCAGCGAGGGTACACGAATCAGCTATCGGAGTTTCCCCAGGTTAGCCCCAGAGATATGAGTTCCTGGAGGCAGCAGCTTGAGGGAGGGCCCCGAGGGTGGCTTTCACATGTGAGATAGTCTGTTTACACAAGTGGCTCCCAGATCTGTGCTGCTAACCTTTCCGAGGCACCTTCCAGCCCCTGGCGGTTTACTTATCTTGTGATAATTCCTGTCTCACACACCTGAGAGACTGCTGTTGATCAGAGCTGGATACCAGCAGCTAATTCTAACTTTCTCACGACCATTTCCTTAACCTACATCGGGTCACATACCCCCACACACCCCTGCTAACCCTGAAATGTACCGCTGCTATAAGCAAACCTCTCGAGGTGACATTGGCTGATGTCGCTGACTACTCGGGTATTCATATATCGGGAAGTCTTGGGCTCTTCATGTAATTCAGAGAGCTGTACGTACACAGTAGTTAAAAAGCACGGTATGGGAAACTGCAGTATGAAACTCCCATAAAATTCGTTAAACAACTTTTAAAGAGGGAAGGAAAGTTATTCGTTTTGAAGCTGGCTATCAAATCAGTGAGAATCACCCGTAACTATAGTGATACAGCCTGTGGTACCTGAGGACACATGAAAAGTTCTTAATCAACTAGTAGCTAAAGACACACTTGATAAGCTCAGTGACTTCTGGGGGGCCTTCATATCCCAAACTGTGAATAATTCTCATAGTCGGGATGTGGTATAGTAAGTAGAACAGCATCCTAAGCATTTCTTCAGCAAATTCGTTATGGTCTGTCTATTTGGAGGCATCGTGACGTCAACATGCTTGCTGGCATGTTGGTAGTAACCAACCAAGCTGTCCTTCGGGTGTATATACACACCAAGCCCTGGAGCTGATGGCGAGTTCACAGGGCCTTTCCAGTGGGAGACAGACTAGCCCAAGTCAACGGAAAGAAAATGCCACAGTGCCAACTCGGCAACCGTGTTAAAAAATAGAAGCTAACAACAAATTTCCTTAAAAGGAAATAGATTGGTCCCATCTGTAAAAGCATCAAAAACAATACAAGTAAGTTTAACTAGGGAGGTGAGAGATCAAGACGTGATGAAATTGAAGATAAACGGGAAGGTGCGAGTTCACACACTGGAAGACTGACTGTGAAACGTCGCTGCCAAAAGCCGTCCGCAGACTCAGTGCCATCCTACCAGGATTCCAATGGCATTTTTCACAGAATTTACACTTCACAAGGAAAATTTCACTCCTAGAATTTAAATGAAACCACCAAAGACCCCAAGTAGCCCAAGAAATCCTGAGAAAGAACAAAGCAGGAAGCATCACACTGCCTGACTCCAAGGTGTACTACAAAGTTAGTGTCATAACTGTGGCCCTGGCATAAACACAGACCAATGGGACAGAATTGAGAGCCCAGAAATAAACCTACACCTAGCCTCAACTAGTATGTGACAGGGGAGCCAAGAATACTCAATGGAGAAAAGTCAGTCTTTTCAATAAGAGAGAAAATTAGATATCCCCATG